GTTACATTCATGTGGTGAGGGTCGCTTAAACTTTGCCACTAGTTTCGTCTTCGGCAATTGGCAGCGCGTAAAACTGCTGGCGCCCTCTAGAACAGAGTGAACATCACTGGCGTGATTACGGTGATGATGCATTAATGGATCGGTGCTGCCACTTGTTTTAGGTCACACGACAGCGCCAACGTGTTGGTCGCGAACCCGGCACCTCGGCCGCGCGCGAGCATCCACCAGCTGCAGGCGACCGCAGAGCGTGGCCACCAGGAGGCGCCGGCGGCGGCGGCGCGGCGGGGACGTGCTCCGCTCTCTTCTGGCGACTCGTCTCCGCTCGACATCATCGTTCACCGCGCCGACCCCCGCGACCCAGAGGTCACGGCCACGCCCGCCCGCGCCGCCATCGCCGACCGACGTCGCAAGAAACACAAGTCGAAGCGGAGGCACACGGAGCCCAGCAGGGGGCAGCAGCAGGCGGGCGAGGCAGCGGACGCGCGGCAGCAGGCGAGCACGCTCGACCGCGTCGGTGGCGCCGCCCGGTGTCAAAACTGCCAGGAGGCGAGCGGCAGCCACAGCGACAGCTCGAGCGGGACACCAGGGGGCGTTGCTGAGGGTCGTGTGTCGTGTCGCGTCACGATGGCCGACGCCTACTCGAACAGTAGCGACACCTGAGCGAGGTCATGCCGTGTTAGAGGTCACACCATGTCAGAGGTCACGCCGTGTCAGAGGTCACGCCGTGTCAGAGGTCACGCCGTGTCAGAGGTCACGCCGTGGCAAAGGTCATGCCGTGTCAGAGGTCACGCGGTGGCAGAGGTCACGCCGTGTCAGAGGTCATGCCGTGTCAGCGGTCACGCCGTGTCAGAGGTCACGCGGTGGCAAAGGTCACACCGTGTCAGAGGTCACATGGTGGCAGAGGTCACGCCATGTCAGAGGTCACGCCATGTCAGATGTCATGTCGTGTCAGAGGTCACGTCGTGTCAGAGGTCATGACCATTCAGAGCCTGCACGTCATGTGAGGTGCCAAATACATCTGTCACAGCCTAAGGCCATAATAAAAATATTGTTTGTTTGCCCTCACCCGACCGACCCGCCAAAAAGGGGCCGACTCAAAAATGTTATTGATCTTTCCCATTCTGTTTTTTTTTACAAATTTTATCACTGTACATTATATAAATCTGTAGGCAGTACATTATATGTACCAAGCAAAACAAACATTCAACATAAAAGGTATCTCCACACAAGCACACCCGAGCATGTATAGACACCATGCTGAATTTGTAAAAAGACCCCCCTCAAAAAAAAAGAAAAAAAAGCCTACCTACCTACCCAAACTTTTCAGCCTGGGTCGGGTGAGGGAAAACTCAGATTTTTTTTAATTGTGGCCTAACCAGGAGCGAGAGAAGGACGGCAGCTGCTACCAACTGTGATCGCGCGGCATGGACAGAGCAGCCGGTGACCGTGAGTGACCCCAACGCACGCCATCTACGATGAATCCTTCACCTGACCCACCGAGCGACGACACAGACGGCTAACCAAGCGAACGCTGACCCTGACATCGCAGGGTCGCGTCCGGTGACGCGCCGGCCAATCAGGCGGGACGCCTCCGCCGCGCATATCTCGCGGTGGTTCTGTGCGATTTGCCTGTGTTTATGTTCAAACCTGTGTTAGTGGCCAGCTCTAGAGAACAGCCACCACTACAGAACGGCCACCTCTACAGAGCAGCCACCTCTACATAACAGCCACCTCTAGAGAACAGCCACCTCTACAGAACAACCACCTCTACAGAACAGCCACCTCTACAAAACAGCCACCTCTACACAACGGCCACCTGTCCATTAAGGCCACGTTACCTTTGAGTGGCTGTTAGACGGAGGGATCTCCCCTGTAGAGCGGCGTTCTGTCCATGCAGATCGTTCTTGGCATTTCCCATTGAGTAGTCGTTACGTACTAGTCTGACTGTATCGCCCTGCAGCCTTGCATCGCCGCCTGCTATACATGGGGTCATGTCGACACCCCCGTCTCTCACTGTTGTGCCGCTGTCGCTATCATTATCTGCAGCTAATTAACGAAATTAACTCGTCAATAAGCCGAGTGAGCCGGCACAATGGCTGGCCATCGCTGCAGTGTGCGCGTGCGTGCGCTGATGTTAGTGAGGTGGCTTATAACAGTGCGCGTGTCGCGCTGCCCTAGTTTCGTTAAATTAATTTGGTGCATAGAGCCAGCTCATCGTCGGTACATCGTTTACGCCGCGTAGTCTGTGAATCATGCCATCGCTTACTCACGCGCGCTGACCTGTCCCTTCGCATCCCGTCATCCATTTATGCGGATTACTTCGGAGGCGAGTTGAGCTGACGCGGCGCGCGGCGAATGCGATACCCCGGAGATCGTGCGGGGCGGGAACAACAAGGTCCCGCGCGTCGCTCTCCCTGCCGCAGAATTTACGCTGATTAATCTGTCGACGAGCCTCGCTGTCTCAGTGGCGCCCCCTACGCGGGGGGCCGTACGGGACAAGTGCTTGTGCTCGGGGCGATGAGGATGGAATGCAAGGTTGCGGAATGAACTTGCGTCATGCTCGTCCCGCCACTTCCATCGATATTCCGCCTCCGAATTGACCATCCCTATTTTTTATTCTGATTCCGAATCAAGGATTTCCGGTTCCGATTCCAATCCCGAATCAAGGATTTCCGGTTTCGATTCCAATCCCGAATTGACGATTTCCGGTTTTGATTCCAATCCCGAATCGATGATTCTGGTTTCGATTCCAATTTCGATTCCAATTCCGAATCGTCGATTTCTAGTTCTGATTGCAATTCCAAACCATTTTCGGTTTTGATTCCAATCCCGACTCGACGATTTCCGGTTTCGATTCCAATCCCGAATCGACGATTTCCGGTTTCGATTCTCATCCCACTTCCGACTGTTGCTGAATCCGATTCCGAAGAGAAATCGGCGTGGTGCTGCCGCGTGGGCATCGAGGCGTGATACACTTATTAGCGATGAGATGAGCTACCGCAGCACTGCTACCACCGCCTCAGATGGTTTCCTGTCCTTTTTTTTTACACGGAGAAATTACTTCAGGGCTTTGCTCGCGTAACTCGACTAGCTAACTCGCGGCGCTCGTGCGTCGGGAAAAAACGTGTTCGAAGCTCGTCACAGAGCGAACGATGTCATGAGTACTGAGTAGATGCAGATGTGGTGAGAACTTGCATTAAATCTCGCTTGTGTATACCAAGGAGCTAAATATAACAAGGAGAGGAAGCGCCGCCATATCTGGCCCAATTTTGGGTTCGGCAGAGACCCTAGAACAGATTAGTGTTCTATTGTCTCTGGGTTCGGTCTGCACAGCCGTTTCAGCTGATTATGGTCCATAGATGGCGCCCTTGAGGCGAAAAGCACACAACCAATCCGTTTCCTCTTCTTGTTATATTTAGCTCCTTGGTGTATACCAGCCTCAACACGATCACGTTTGAGTGAGGTGTGTGAGTGACTCAATCGTACTTACTGCTGTCACTGTGAACCTGCATACACTAGTATGCTTGTGCTAGAATTGCGCTTACTACTTATCGCGATATACCTGTGCATGACAGAATGCAGTTTTTATCGTATATCGTAGCATAATATATGATATAATACTCCTTGTTCACCTTTTTACAAGCGCTACCATACAGCCGTTTGCAGGTGCCACATTCCTGTGCGGTGGCGCCACCAACGGCTGTATGGCAGAGCTATCTTTTTATACGTTATGAATTATATTACGCGTGTTTGGTATGGAGTTTAGAGGAGTCGGAACTATTTCTACCAACGGTATGTAAATATAATGCTCTAACCTTGTTGAGATCTCGGCTTTTGAGATGTTTGTATAATGTATGACATACCATTGTTGCACGCCGCACATTTCTGGCAAGAGAGAGTGCAGTAGGACGCCACATCTCTGGTGAAAGGTATGGTGCACTATGCATCTCTGCAGAGAGGGGTAGTACGCTACACATATCTGCAGATTGGTGTAGTACGCTACACATATCTGCAGATTGGGGTAGTACACACTACACATATCTGCAGATTGGTGTAGCACACACTACACATCTCTGTAGGGGCGTGTAGATCTAATGAGAGAAGTGTGGCAATATGACAAGAGATTATCGATTACAAGCATAATTCCTGGACTGTTTCTATAACGTGTATATAGAAATGCACACACACATTATATCAAGAGTACATAATAGAGAATGTCTCTATTATGTACTCTTGATTGATTATATCTATGTTTTTTTAGTGTGATATGTTTAATCCTGTTTTATCGTAGCGTTTACCTACGATGCGGTAATAGACGGTGAATCGTACGTTGTTATAGTATGCGATTCCTAGAATGGTTTGCTGTCTCTGCACTCAATAGTTTATTTACGTTAATAGATTATAATTAGCCATTAATGAAATGAAGAGAGGGCGTGCGATTCTATCTGTCTATTGATCTAGCGATTCCCAGTGAATAACGGCGGTGGTGCCCTCTGGTTACCGCTGCATGAGTTAATGAGTGCTCACGTGTAATTAATGGTCGCTGTTGATTAGGATGGGCGAAGCGAAGTGAACCGCTCGTCGTTCGGGGAATACGACGATGAATTGCTTCGACCCGTTCATTAACGAAGCCGTTACCATTGACGCATCCGTGCGTCGGACAGCGCCATCTGTTGTCGCGAAAAAACGTTAATTATAACTCCCACCGGTGCGAGATCGTGGGAAATGACGGCGCTGATATGCGCCTACTGTTGAGTTTGAAGTTCGAGGAATATATCGACGAATCACATCGATACAATAACGTAAGCACTGACGAAGCAAGCATGCTCCCTGTTAGACATGTGCGTAGCGCGTCTTTACTGCGTCTTAAATGCCTGTGTAGATACACAGCCT